TATCTAAGGAAAACCAGCTGATTGCATCGACTCATTGACTCTTCAGCAATCCCTCACTCTAAGCATGCTTGTAGCGACAGTGGAGAGGAAAAACTGACTGGGGTTCAAGGAGAACCACCAAGGCCTAGAAAACCAGTTTATTACCATTAAGGAACAATAAAGAAGCTCCAGATTCGGCGGCCTAAAGTTGGACGATGCGACCGAACCTCATATCATGTGACTTTATTCTGGTCGGTATAATATTATTTTAATATGGATATTAACAAAAAACAAAGGCCAGAAATGCCCCCATCAGAGTCTTTATCACAATTAATAAAAATCAAGTTTATTACAATTCCTCCTATTTAGAGTTTAAAAACATTCACTTTAAAATACTAAAGCTAAAACCTGGGAGGTCAATCAGTAACAGGCGGGAAATACGTCGATTTTAATGTTTGAAATTCTGAATCATTTTACCAACACACTGTGCCGAGTGATGTACATATGTTTTTTTTCTTTTTTGTGTTTTTTGTTTTGTTATAAATTTATTAATTTACTAATATTTGCTTTTTATTAAGTGTTCAAAATAAATGATCAATGTCAGCCCAGAAGTGATAAACCAGCCAGTTATCGAACACGCCAGCTGGTTTGATCTTTTTCCAGCTGCCAATTTACAGGCCTGTTTCACAGCTTTTATTCATTTTCACTTTGAATTCAAGTTTCAAACTTTCAGAGGAGAGGATTCAAATAAAAATACGTTTTTTTACATAAAAAAGAAAGGGTTAAAAATGGATGAAAGGGATTTGGTATTAAAAAAAGATTTGATTTAAAAGCCACATTACCCAGGCCGACCTAGAAGCACAGCCTGAAATATTGATATGAAATGAATGTCTCCTCCTAGAGAAAAAATTCAGCTGTTTAGACACAACAACCACTGTAAAAAAATCACGTTGAATTAATCCCACCAAGTTATTTCAAATGGTTCCACTAAATTTACCACTACCGTCTATATTTACATGATATTTAAAGTAAAGTGGAACAAAATGCGATGAACTAAATCCGGCGTTGCAGACTTAAGATTGAAGCTAAAGCTGTGAAGTGAAATTTACCAGATGCTGATAACATTTCAATATTTCTGTTCAGTTTAATTAATATTTATGTGGATTAATATTATTGGATTTGATGGAATTTAATATAATCATGTTTTTAAATTAGTCGACCTAGTTTAGTGGAACCAGTCGATATAACTGGGTTTAATCATTTTTAAATGTTTGCATTTTTAATGTTTCTTTATTCTATATTCAAACTTTCCAATTAAGAACGGTTTAGTGGGTTTGCATCAATAATGACTCCAAACCAGCCTTTTTAAATAAAACAGGCCTTTTTGGTTAAAGATTCAGCCAGAAGCTGGTTGATGGCTACTAACCACCTGTGGTTGGACTAGTTATGCTGGAGACCCGGAGCCTCTGAGTGCAGCTCAGCTGCAGCCTGTGGGGGGCCGGTTTGTTTCTGTGACCTTGATGCGAGGACGCGCTAACCCAGACCGATGGCAGCCGTCTGACACCGAGGGAAACTTTGGGTTTCACCTGAACTTTTAATTTGAAATGGAAGTCTTTCCCTTTCTGCTTCACTCTGCGGTTTATCTCTGACTGGACCAAGGGAGGGACTTAGCAAGCAGTCAAACACAGGGGGGGGCGGGGTCAGTCCTTGGTCCCTGCTGGTTTCTGCCTGGACTGAACTATTCTGTCATTGTGAAACGTTTCTTCGCTGCTTCCTTATCGTCTGCGGTCGTTGCATTGCACTGGGATGAGACACACATTCTGCTGCTGCTCTACCAGCAGGCGGGCTGATAAGAGGCGCTGCTGTCAGCAG